AAGAAGAAAAGTGTAGAGTTAAGACTTATCAGGATGCTGCCAACAGTTTAAAGGTACTGCAGGAGTTTGCCATATAACGGAATGATTCAGACATGCTTACTTTAATTTCTCAGGCTGAAGTGTTTGTGGAAAGTCAGGCAGCCAAGAGAGTAAACTTCGTGCAAAAAACTCTGCCGGAGTTCTGGTAAAATTATAAAAAGTGAGTACTGCAATTTTTTCTTGTTCAGTGTAATGTTTGCATGTGTTTAATGATTATAGTGTGAATAAATTAATGAGCATGTTGTTTTGTTTTGTCTGAAATACGTTTATGTCCTGGTTTAGTTATTATAGTATACATTGATTAAACGGAAACCTGGCTTCAGCGGAAATTTTTTCTGGTCCCTTGAGATTCCATTTAAGACAGGTTTTACTGTATATGTGTGTGAAGTATACACTTGACAAAAGGCCAAGCGTATTCATATGAGACAAGCCCATCTTCTCCTCAGAGAGGATGTTACATAAGGACTAGTACCACAAGAGTTAAGTTGGAAAAAATCTCTGGTCTTAGGCCTAAAGGGACCTGACATCAAGACAAACTGATTGGTGGTAAATTGCCAGTTGTAAAGTGACTTTGACTTTGAAGCAACAAAGCCAGTTATGGAGTATTGGCCTGGGGGCAACATGAGGACAGAAGCTGAAGAATCTCCACTGTTAGAAGTCGTAACCAGGAACCAACTGGTGAAGAGTGTAAGAGACTCAGAATATTAATGTTTGTGTGTGTAACAGCTCTAAAGCATAGTCATGAGGCAAGCGTTAAAATGTTCAATAAATCCAATCTCCAATCCAAACTCCATCTATAGTCACTCTATTAATGTTTGGTGTTTCTAATACTGAAGATAATTAAATATCTTTATTATTGTATAAAAAACGGTAAAGATATCCCTGTAACAGGCCGTGAAGGCCCATAGGAGGTGTATCGGAAAGTTCTTGGGCTAGATCAAGAAAGAACCTATTTGGCTGCCAACTCCTTAAGAACAGTCTCTTTGGGAGCATATACAGCGATCCCATGATTTTCCACTCTTCAAAAATACCGTGGAAGTCATTTTCCTTAATTCTGACACATTCCACTTGCAATTCCCTTTGGATGTCAGACACTTTTTCAGAACGCTGGCCCTTCAGTTTCATTTTTAATTTGGCAGACAAAGCAAAATCAGATGGAGCTAAGTCCAGTGAGTAGGGAGGATGGGGAATGATAATCATGTTGTTCTTAGTCACAAACTCTGTGGTTATTCGGGACATGTGGGTGGGCGCGTTGTTGTTATGAAGGAGCAATGTGGCACATGTTCAAATTTTCTGTTAAGATCTCCTGGCAAACTCCATAACCAATCCCAAAGGTGTCTGCTAGCTCATGGATTGTTCAGCAATGGTCTTCATGGATAAGTTCCCAAATTTTTTAACATTTTCTTAATTCTCCTGGCATTTGGTCTCCCTGAACGTTCATCATCTTCAACTGGCAGTCAACCGGCCTTAAAACAAGAATGCCATTAAAAATCCATTCTCTGGCTTAAAGAATGTTCTCCAAATGCCCCACAAAACATTTCAAAGGTTTCAGCAGCTGATTTATCAAGCTTCACACAAAACTTTATGCGGACACGTTGCTCTATTTTGCTATCCATAGCAGACAAAACAAAACATGGAGTTGAAAAAGAACTTGTGTAAAACAATGAGTGTTCACAGCGCGGTGTCACGTGGCAAGACTGCTGCAACAAGCTTTCAGAAATGACCTTGGCCTCCATTCTATCTTCCTTCACTGAGGCATTTACAACAGTGACAGTCCAGGAACTTTCTGATACCACCACGTAGGGGTGTGAAATGTCGAGGCTCCCACATTTTCTCTAGAAAATCGGCTCACCAATGGTGGTAAGGTTGACAGCCTCACATGCCAGCCACCCTTAGTCCCCCCAAGGAAGGTTCCTGGTACTCATTTCTGTTAAAAGCTGAGTGAACCCCAGGGCCATAATGTGGCTGGAAGGATTAGGTAAATTGAAAAAATCCACTACATTGGGACTATGCTTGTAGCATATTGCCTCATTCAACAATGCTACTGCGTGCCTCCTTATGAAATGTATGAAGTCTGAAAATAAAGATAATAAGTTCACATGGAAAATAAAAAGATTGCAAGCAGTAGCTCATTTGGGTGACAAAAGGTTTATTTATAATATGGTTCATATCTGCAATGATGAACAGAGAACAAAGAATCTGTTATTCCTTTGTCAACAACAATTACGTGTGCATCAGAGTACTTGGAAAAATGGACAGCAAAAATCATAGGCAGGGTCTCTGTAAATGTTGAAAAAAGAAGAAGCGTCAATGATCAGAAAAATTCAACATGTGAGAAAACAATTTCACTGGATGATTTTGAAGTCTGTTTCACAATACTAGGGGCTAAAGAAACAACTTCCCACTTTTAAAAAATTTCTCATTTTTGTGTTAAAGGAAATTACATACCTGGAAGAACTGGACACCTTTCTGAAAATTATGAAAGCAATGGTGTTCAGTTTTAAGAAATATAAAAACAGAATAACTCGGTTTAACTGAAAGACAAGATATCAGTGTTCACCCTATGATATACTGGAAAATGCTAAGGAATAAAGGGAAAGGGACTAAGAAGCCAGCTGTACATGAAGATGAGACTTGGGTTCACACCCATTATACAGTACAAGAGTATTTCCCAGTACAAGGTGAACAGCAGTGCAGAACAGTAAGCTACAGCTGTTCATGCAGGGGTAGAGACAAGGTTCATAGGTGGGGTATAACTTATTTATGATTCAAAATATGACTCAAAAGACTGCCATAATAAGAACTGCACAAATCACGAGAAGCTGGATGAACATGTTCCTTACATGCCACTTGGTAATAGTTACAGCTAATAATGCAAATTACATCACATGGTACAAAAAAATAACCTCCCAGTACTGCAGTTCATGAGGTTGACATCATACTGCTGCTCCAAAATAATGAAAATGCCATTGATCAAGAATTAATACTAAAAAGAGCTATTGCAATCTGTGAGACTGTACATATAAACCATAATCTATTTATACTGTACAGACTTTTGTAGGAAGCTTATACTGTGTTCAGACTTCCTTCATATAAAGGTAAAGCTATCCCTATAACAGGCTGTGAACCCCACAGGCCTGTAAGATGCTGAGGCTCCCACACTTCGTCTACTCAATCAGCTCACAGATGGCGGTAAGGTTGTCAGCCTTGCTCATATGTGCCAGGTGCCCTTTACCCCCCGGAAGATTCCTGATACTCATTTCTGTTAGAAGCTGAGTCAACCCCAGGGCCATAGTGCAGCTGTAAGGATTAGGTAAACTGAAAAAAATCCACCTCATCAGGACTCGAACCCATGACCTTCCAGTTTGTAGCATAGTGCCTGAACCAACTACACTACCATGTGCCACCCTTCCTCCACATCACTGACATAAATCCTACAGAACTGTTATAGAACTGTGGCCAGGAATGTTTCATGATGGTTTAGAAAGAAATGGCACAGAAAAGTTCAGATGAAATAAACCATGAAGACTGGATAAAAGTTTATAATCATCTCAAGGCAAAAGAACACTGGCAGAGAGACAGGTTAATGGAGGAAGCAACGGAAAACACAACTGTGAATAGAGGAATAGATAGCAGTTCTAAGAAATCTAACAATAGTATTAGCATATGCTCTAGGGACAGCATTAATGCAACAGACATGGAAAATGCATCTGAATAGATCAACAGTTCAACTGGCTTGGCTGAAAGGGGACCTGATGGCTCATCTGTTTTCAGGATCAGAGATGCTTTCAGGAAAGGTATGGAAATACATCTGCATGCTTTTACAACCTGACTGCACTTCCAACCTGTGGTCATCATAAAGCATGTAGCTATAAAACAACAGTGCACCATCAGCCAGGGGCATCATAACTTCGCATGAAAATTCTGTTCATGTATCCACTTGAAATGATGGAAGAACTGAATGAAAAATCTCAGAGTAACTTTTACCTGGCAGAGATTCAAACTGGGTACCTCACGAAAAAAAGTTAGCTTCATTATCAGTTGAGCTAACAAGATTTCAGTTGTCAACTTGCCATGGTGACTAATATTTTCACTGTGGTGTCTAGGTATGCTCTGGATTATTACTGTAAAATCTGCAACTAGTAGTTTTTTTGTAGCCACCATAGAGATGGCAGCTTCAGTTGTTTACAAAATCAAAACCATCTCTGTTCAGACCAAGTCATCAATTTGGCAGAAAAATGCATAAGTTGATAGCATAACCACCTAACTGAAACTGATCACCACCATTACGCAGGTGCATTATAGATGCTCCATTTAATGTAAACAGCTGCCCCAGAAACATACTAAATAATTATTTTTACTTATGTTCAAGTCTCTATTTAAAAGTCAAACCTATAGAATTTTATCACATACAACATTCTGATAAATTACGGTTGCCAAAATGAAACCTGTTTATGTCTTCAATCCCCTGAAGAAAATGCTAAAGGGCTGTGGATTCAGGTCAGGCAAAAACATCAAGTCAATGATGATGCAGTGGTTCCAGCAGTAACAAAGGGATTCTTTGCTAACGGGATCCATGAGCCAATGCATCAATAGGATGACTGCCTCAGTGCCCATGGAGACTATTTTTAATGGCCTCTACTTGTTTCCCTAGAATAATCCTCAAATGGGTTTCATTTGAGCAATTCTGAGAGCACAGGACTTGCAGAGGTAACTATGAAGACATGTTCAGCCATAAAGTAAAACTTCTGTGGAAAAAAGGTTAGTTTTTGAGCTCCAACAAAAACTAAAAAACTTACATATCTTTAATGGGTTTCTATACTAGCTTCTAATTTTTAAAGATCATGCCTAAATCAAGAACAAATTTTCTGAACCCTGTCTGCTTTGTGATTTCATGAGGTACAAACAATTTTTCCAACTTTGCAGAGATCATAGAGCTGAAACCCAACCACACAACTTACCTGCAGCACACCATAATGCACTTGCTCCCTCTATAACATAGCCATTCAACTTTATTGTTCCCTCTTGCTCCATGTCTGGTTTGAACTTGGAGAGAAGCATCTTCACAACTTTATCATGACCATGTCTTGCTGCCACAATGAGAGGAGAACACTTCTGCCCATCCTCCTCTATCACCTGCTGATATCAAATTAAATCACTGCCAAGTCATCACAGCTGAACAATTTTACAATACATCCGCCAACTGTCTAGGCCTCCTAACAAATATGCAATGCCTAGCTCATGTTAGAAAAGGAGTCAATTATACAAAATGAATAAAATGTTTCACCCAATTCTGGGATGTGGTTCCACACACACTAAAACAATGAGAAACATCTAAATGTGTCTGAAACAGTTGCATTTTGGAGATAAAACCCTTCTGAATTTTAAAAGTCTGAGGCCAACATTCTGTCTAGTATACCTCATGCTTTGGTCTGTCTGCTCTCAAATGTACTGCCTTGTCCTAAGTAAAGGCAGTCATGAGTTAGTGTGCATCTTGTACCATACAAAGGGCAGCTAACAGGCAGCGTTTTACATTCTGTGAGAAGATCAATGTGAAGGTCAAACTGTACTGTTCTGGTGACAATGGCAAATAATTACATGAATGAAGAAATGGCAGATAGGCATTCATGTACGGTTTGGCAGACTGCAATAGGAGAGAAGGCCATCATCTTTACCACAAATGACTCCCTGGCAGCAAAATCCTGGAAAGGAAAGTGTTTGGCAAGATTCCCCTGCATACCAGAGAGAGTGGAGCATTTGTGTTGAACTGAGCAGGACAATCAGTGAGTATTCCTGAATCTGGAAGAAGGGAGTTTTTGTATTTCTCTCTCAATTTTAGCTTAGGATCTTCTGGCAAGGGTTCATAAACCCCAGACTCCAGCAAAGTGTTCAACTTCTACTTTGATGAATCCAAATACAAGGAGAAGTTGAACACTTTGCTGGAGTCTGGGGTTTATGAACCCTTGCCAAATGATCCTACAGCTAAAAGTGAGAGGTAAATACAAAAATTCCTTTCCAAGCACAAAACTACTTCCCCACTGATCTTAACCACAAGTTTACTCAGCACCACAGCAAACCTCTGCATTTACATGGTCTTCCCAAGATCCACAAACCAGACATTCCTCTGAGGCCTATAGTGAGTTCCATTGGTTCCCCTTGCTATGCCCTCTCTGGCTTTATCCATAAGATACTAAGTCCTCTTGCTGGAAAATCTGGATGCTTCGTTAAGAATTCAGGCCACTTTGTGCAGCTGTTGAAGTCTGTAAATCTTCAATCCTCAGATACCCTCATTAGCTTTGATATCATCAGTCTCTTCACCAATGTTCCAGTCAATGAAACCCTAAAAGTCATCAGAAATAAGCTCCAGAATGATGACACACTGGCAGAACGGTCTGCCCTACAGGTACAAGACATCATGGAGCTACTGGAGGTTTGCCTGAGAACCACATATTTTCAGGTGGACAACAAGTTCTTCCAACAGAAAGATGGCATGGCTATGGGTAGCTCCTTATCACCCATTGTGAGCAACATCTTCATGGAGCATTTTGAGAAATTGGCTCTTGAATCGGCACAACATAAACCATCGCTGTGGCTCTGGTACCTTGATGACACATTTGTGGTCTAGCCTCATGTCCCAGAGCAGGATATCCTCAGTCACCTCAACAGTTTAAGGCCGTCCATCCTCTTCACCATGGAAACAGAGTCACACAGTATAATTTCCTTTCTTGATATGCTGGTCAGCAGTGAAGAGACACCACTAGCCACCAAAGTCTATTAGAAACCCACTCACACTGGCTGGTACCTCAACTTCAACTCTAACCATCTGCCACATGTGAAAAGAAGTTTGATTCAGAGTCTGCACAACAGAGCTTCCATCATAGGCCAAGAATGACAAGAGCTGGTTAAAGAAATCAGGAAACCTGAGAAGTGATCTCCAGCTCAACGGTTATCTGCAAGATTTATTTCATTGACTCAGTCATTAACTCTAAGGGTAGCAGTCGTCCAAATAAAGAGCGAAGGCCCCTGGGCTCTGTGTATATCCCATATGTGAAGGGTGTTTCTGAGAAGTTCAAATGTATAGGGAATCAATACAACATCAGGACAATCTTTAGAACTAAACACACACTTAGGAGTTCACTCATGAGAACCAGGCCAGAAAGAGATCCGCAACAGATGGTACAAAGCATCTACATTATTCTCTGTGAGTGTGGAATAAGCTATAATGGGGAAATAGGGAGACCTATACACATGCGGCTCCATGAACATAGGCACAATCTCCAACAGGGTCTTCTAGAAAAACCAAAATTAGCCCAACATAACTATGAAGAGGGTCACAGAGTAGGCTTGGATGATGGTAGGATTTTGGAAATTGAAGGTAACAGAAGGTACAGGAAATATGGGGTATGCAGTAGTGTAGTTCGTTGAGGCACTATGCTGCAGGCTGAAAGGTTGCGGGATCAAATCCCTATGAGGTGGATTTTTTCAATTTACCTAATCCTTCCAGCTGCACTATGGCCCTGGGGTCGACTCAGCCTCTAACAGAAATGAGTACCAGGAATATTCTTGAGGGTAAAGGGCGGCCGGCACATAAGGCTGACAACCTTACCGCCATCTATGAGCTCATTGTCTAGAAAATGTGGGAACCTCAACGTCTCACAATCCTATGGGCCTCCACAACCTGTTACAGGGATACCTATACTTTTTTACTTTATAGGAAATATAAGGAATCGGCCCATATGGCATGCTTAACCAATCCAATCAGCCAACCCAATTTGGACATTTCTCCTATCTGGATATCCCTCATCAGCAATGACATTTCTAACTCACAGAGAAGATCTGTATGACATGACAGACTCTTCATGCGTTTCCATAAGGTTCCAGTCTCGAGTGTTCAGGTTTTACTCCACGGATGGCACTAGTGGCAGATATTACATGTCTTCACAATTTTTCCCAATTCTTCGCAATGGTTTTTGTAAGCTAGGTTTCTAACACAAATTTTGAATTCCTTTTCTATTCTAGTTCCATGCATGTGTGTGCTTTATCATAATTTTTATTTCATGGTTTCTTGTTATCTCCTGCTGAACTAACCTAGTCTTATATGTTGAAATAGCTAGGTAAATCAGACAGGAGTAGTCCAGTGATTGAGATTAGCCCTTTCTAAGAGACCCAACTGAATAGGTGTCTTCCTTCCTCACCTGAAGACGGAAACAGATCCAGGTTCCGAAATGTCAGGTCTTCTATTACCTACAATTCCGGACAATGGAAAAAGTCCAAAAACCCAGTAATTCTGTGTATTCAAAACAAGCGGAGAAGAACACTGACATGAAGAGTCTGCTTACTGCACAATAATGCCTGCCGGCACACTGCCTGCGCAATGTGGGAGTTTTGCAGTCCTTCAGGTGGGAAGTATTGGCCCATCTACCACACAGTCTAGACCTTGCACCAAGCGACTATCACTTGTTTTCTACATTCAAGGGAAGTCTGGCTGGAAAGATTTTTTTGGACGACGATGAGGTTCATGACCCGGTGATGACATGGCTAAGACAGCAGGTAGGAGATTTCTATGATGCTGGAATAAAAAAATTCATTCCCAGGCTCACTAAGTGCACTGTGATCCATGGTGACTACTACAAAGTAAATAAAGGTGTGTTGTAAAAGTGTTACAAGGGAATAAAAAAATACTTTACAAATATCTTCTTGACTTTTATGTTTTTACTTTCCAAATAACTTTTGCATGTTTTGCCAAGCAGAATCACAGGAATGGTGTACCACAATCTTTTGGTGAATGTACTTATAGCTTCCACAAAAGATGTATCTCTACAAATATAAAATGACACATGTTACATTCATGATGGAGATTTGGTCCATTTTCTTATTCATGTTAGGTAACAACTAAATCAAGTCGCTGAAGAAAAGTGGAGAAGCTTATGTAGACCCATTTCATGGCCCTGAATCTGAATCTCAATTCAGCAGACTTCTTGTGGGGGGTATTTGAAATGTTTATATTTTATGCCAATGTTTATGTCAATGATGTAGCAGAACTGCAGAAGCACCAATGCTTGTGAAACAATTGGAGGGAATGCAGGGATTTCTGTGCACTGTACAACAATACATATGGCACCATGCCAACCTGTGTTTGGAAATAGGCAGACAGCATATCAAACACTCATAACTCAGATACAGTTGGAATAACTTTTGATACGCTAACCAGACTCATCCTAAAATGTTCTAAATTAAAAAAAAAAAATCCAAAATTGAACCATTTTGGAAACATATTAATGTTTCTTTATGCCTACTATAAAAAATATTGTGGAATACTGAGGGAAGTTATAAAAACTGCAAAAAAAAATGCATTATAATAGACTGATTGCCAAATCTAATAATAAAACTAAGACTATGTGGAGTATGGTAAATAATGTAACTGGCAAATGTAAAAATATTCGTGATCCCCCACCACTAATTGTAGAGGGAATGGAATGTAAAGATAGTCAAAGTATAGCAACAGCTTTCAATTTATACTTTGATGCTACAACAATTAAGAAGCTAAATAATGTTAGTATTAACTTGGATCCAATATCAAGCAATGATAATTTTCGTCATTATTTATCCTCATTGCCTTTAGGACCCAGTAATAATATTTTATATGAACCTGTAACTTACAAAGAATTAAGTGATATTATTAAATCCCTTAAAAATAAAAGTTCCTATGGCTATGATGAAATATCGACGAAGATAATAAAATTAAGTATGTTATATATTATGTCCCCTCTTATTTACATATGTAATAGGTCCTTGGCCACAGGTACATTTCCCTCAAGGTTAAAATACTCACAAATACATCCGGTACACAAGAAAGGTGATGCGTCTGAAGTATCTAATTATAGACCAATTTCTGTGCTTACATCCTTTTCTAAAATATTTGAAAAGGTTATATATAATAGAGTGTATGCTCATGTAGTACTTAATAATATATTGCCTGCTGAGCAACATGGATTTAGGAAACATCTATCTACGGATACTGCTATTCTTAGTTTACTTAATAATATTATGCAGGCACTTAATGACAGAAAACTGGTCGGTGGTATTTTCTGTGACTTAACAAAGGCCTTTGATAGTGTGAACCATGATATTTTACTTGA